ACATCTACAACTGACCTTTAGTGCAGCATTACTTCTGGAAAAAGGAGTATTTTGTGTGGTTGTTTTTTTGCTATTTTTTTTTCTCTTGTTTAGGGAGTGGCAGTATGAAGGGGGAACACTGGCGCAAATTTGCTGGGGAAGTCAGATGGACTGAGTCCGGATGCTCAGGCTCTCTGTGCTACAGCCTATTGTCAGCTGGCTGTAGGGAATGGAGTCCTCAGTGCAGCAGTCACAGATGCAAAATAGTCTGCTGCTTTGCTTTTATTGGTGAAATACAGTACCTCAGAGAGCCCACCTGTCTGTTTTTTCACTGTGCAATTCAGGAACTACTCTCCTGGGTTTTGTTTTTAAATCCAGCTCTGGTAACCTGAAATAATTTTCTGCTTTATTTTCTGCTTCACAATTGGTGCTAATGAACCTTTGAGAAATTCAGGCTTCTTTCTCAAACAGTGGAGGTGTGGCTATAACCGTCTTTAACCTAACACACAGATCAGGTCTTCCACTAGTTTCTCATACTTTAGTTAGAGGTGTGTTGCATCAGGACCAAAACACATCCTTTCATTCAGGCCTTGGCTTTTGTGAGAATGTGTCATTTCTCTTGTATAAGTCTGTCCTATCAGCAGGTGCTGGCAGTTCTTTGAGCAGGCTGAGTAAATTGAGCTTTTGTGTGCCGGGCAGAATGATGCCCACTGCTAAGGATGGGAGAATATCAGAAGTAGAGAGAAGATATTCTATGTCTTGAGAACTTTGTTTATCAAAGAGTTGCTTGTTGACTGATCTCTGGATTTAGATGCCTAATTGCTGCCCATTTCAGGCATGCAGATGAATAAATGCGTGGTGCCTACTCACATTTGTTATCTAGGTAGAAGTCATCTCTTCCCTTAATCCAAATGTGAAATCCAAATATTCAGTAAGAGGTAGAAGTTTTCACTAGTTTAATCTAATAAACTTCTTCCAGGGCAGAATAGCATCTTTTAACAATAATTGAATACAAGATGAATGCTCCTAATGTGAAAGAATTATTTGGAACAGAAAAAGCATCGCATGCAACTTTAAAGGTCTAAACAGCTGTGAACATTAAAACAACAACAAAAAAAATCCAAATGTTTGTATTCAGAAATTTTGACTCTCCCGAGTGGGCATCTGTTTGTGAAGAACATTGATGAATTAAGAATTAAGGAGTTACATTGTGTTTTTACTTTCTATTTCAACAAGTTTTGTTAGCATGTTTGAGGGCTGACTTCTGTCTTGCTGTACTGATTTAGCAATCTAACAGTTGGGTTTTGCTCTACAAGTTGTCAGGATGTGACTGCTTACTGTCATCTCCCACTGGCACTCTGCTTACCAATCATATTATAATCTGTGGAAATTGAACAATTCAGAGCTTGCTTGAATAAACACAACTTGCTGATTGACTTACTGAAGATATTAACTGGTTGATTAATTAAGAAAATTGTCAGTTCCTCCCCTCCCACTTTTTTTTTTTATTGTTGCATTGGTTGCAGAGATTGTTTTGTCAAAGATGATTCAGGGTTGTTTTCTTTCTAACAGCAGCGTTTGAAAAGAATTGAAGGAATAGCGTAGTTAATGATGAATTTACCATTTTAGCTTCTGTTGTTCAATGTGATATGAACAGCTGTGGACAAATACATGTAATTTAAAAAGAAAAAGATTGTATGTATCAAACTACAGAGGTAGATGAAAATTGCTACCCGCTCATTTTTATCTTCTATAGAGGTTTGGTTGATCTGTATCCCAAGTCTGTAGAAATTAGCAGTTTTGTGACACTGCTGCTAGTGGTAGACGTATTTGAACTTATGCAGTGTTTGTGGAACTGGGCCATGGTTGTGGAGACACTTCATGTGCTGGGAGAAGAGTGGAAAGAAGAGATAAGTAGGATTATTCATTCCAGAGGAGATTTAGAGCTGTAGATTTAATGTTTTACGTTATAGCAACATCACTGTAGTAAATGCTTTTAGAATTGGCTAAAGATCACAAAAAGTGAAGCTGACAAGATTAAATTAACTCCTTATGTTATACTTAAGTGTAATATTGCAGTTCTAAGTAATTGAATTGCAACTATTTGCTTTCCAATTTTGAGTGCTGCAAATATCTTTATTATTGCTGTAAATTCACCTGGGAATAAAACTCAAATACTTTAGACTCCTGTGAGAGATGTTATAGTGTGTGTAATTTTCTTTCATTTACTCCACCCATAACTTTTTCCTGGTTATCAAGCAAAAAAAAAATTCTTATTTTCTAGAAGCTTGCCTATTTTTTGAGGCCTTACATTTTCCACTATTGTTCTCTGTCTCATTGTTGATTTTTTTTTAGTTTGTTTGTTTTTGCTGTGGAGAAGATCAGACAGGAAGTATTTGAACGTATTTCACGGAACTTTGAAGTGCAGTTGCTAGGAAAAGCTTTTGGAGTTGCCATGCTGGCGACTATAGACAAATTCTTGTAGGAGGCTGTGTCTGAACTTAGCTCCTACAGCTTCTACTAGAAACTGTACCTTGTAATAAGTAGATACTTCTGTTTGCTTTTCAGCTAAAGTTGTCGTATCTGGGCTGTAGGCTGCATACTGCCGAGTCCCTCCTTGTAGCCATCGCCTGCCCTGTGCCATCATGGTCGTGGTTCTGCCCCACTGAACAACCCTACCTGGCTCTGGGCTCACACCCATCACTCACAGCAACCACAAATCAGTGTGTGATCGGCTCTGTGTACACAGGGCACAGAGAAGGCATGGTGCGGTGCTAACTCAACTTGTGCCAAATAATTGTGTGCATTGTCATACATGGGCTAAAAGCAGCCCTGCTTTCTGCTTTGGTGACAGAAGTTGATAACTGGTTTCAAGATTGCCCCCCCCCCCCAAAAAAAAAATCAGCAATTTTTAAATGTATTTGCAACTCCATTTTCAGTCAACATAACTACATTACCTACAGATTTTTAAACAGAATGTATAGAGTGGCAGTTCAAAATGTGATCATGTCTTTGTTGGACTTTCATAAGCCCTCTCTAACAAGAAAGAGATAGCACTTGCTTTACAATCACACCTTATTCATATCACCACTTGCTGGCAGCATGTGCATTTGTGAACAACAAAGGTAAACATGGGATGAAGTTCAGGAAGAGTAAAATTTCATCAAAAATTGCTGACAAATACTTGGAGAACTCCCTGAGAATTGCAACTGCTGATGCTGAAGCAGGCTGTTGCATTAGTTGCAAAGAAGCAAAATGAAATATCCCACTGTTTTTATGTTTTTGTTGCTCTGTTTTTATTTTAATAAGAAATGTTAAAAATTAAGGTAAGTTTTTTACTTATATTAACTACATTTCATATTTTCCAAGGGCTGCTCTGAAAGTAATGCCTCCAATTTTATTATATTTTATGCCACACCAGAGGTGGGTGCTGGTGGATATGGGAGAAGAGGTTGAACCTTCCCACCAATTTTTTTTGCATTTTGTTGCCATGTGTCAGATGGCAGAAGAGAAGCAATCTGACAGAATGGCATCTGACATGGAAGTATGTATGAAGAAAAGGTGTGTCACTGAATTCCCTTATGGAATGGCAGCCATTGGCATTCATGAAACTTTCTGAATATTTATGGCAACTAAGCGGTAGATGTGAGCTCAGTGAGACTGTAGGTGACATGTTTCAGCAGTGGCAACAGCAACAATGAGTTACTTACACTTTTCAGATTTTTGCTAGTGTAGCAGTGAGGCTGGTTCACTGTTGATGAAAAGGCACAGCTGATGGAGGTGACCTTGCTGAAAAAGAGAGTCTTGTGGCTGAGATTTTCCTCTATCAAATAATGTTACTGTGTTCTTTGTATCTGTTGTTGTTTCTATGGAAATATATAGGATATATATAAATATAAAATATATTTACTTTTGAAACAACCTACATATTCTTGGCCCAGGATTTTTTTCTCTTCACTCAGTGCAGCCCAGGCAAACCGTAAGGTTGGATGCCCATGAGCTAAAGTTTCTGTATTGACTTTTGTAAGCATAGTTCTCCCCCTCAAATACTTGCTGCTTTTCTTTTATTTTTTGATTCATGTTAAGTAGATAGCACTAAGGGTAGCTTCCTATTTATCAGACCCAGCAAAATAACAACTTCAAAAGCAATGCCCGTTTAAAAAGAAAAAAAAAAAACAACCTACTGGACAGTTAGGACATATGCAGTTGCATCTTTTGATCAGGAACTATGTTGATAGTTGCAGAATTTATTCTCTTTACGTTTAATGTGTCTCCATTTCAATTTAGTGACTTTTGAGAGTAGAAAATAATATAGTACAGATTGAAAGTGACATAGAGGGAGATGAGAAAGCCATTGAATATCTGAAATCTGGACTACTAATTTGTACAATCCTTAGGATGTGAGTTCTTATGTTAGATTATTTGTAGATTATACTACAAATGTGTTAGGAAGTCTCTTCATTGCAATTTTGGCAGCTTTCTCACGCTGTTTTTCAAGTTCCTGTGTAGCTCTTAAACCATGTTTTCTTGATAAGTGTTATGACCCATCAATATTGCATACTACTGCAGTAATAGCAAACATGCGTATAGTTAGCCCTATGTGGCTGAAGGGTTTTCTGTTACAGTTTTTATAAACGTCTTCTGTGCCATGAGGCACAGAAATAAGTTGCTTTCAAAGAGGATAGGAGGTCTTGTGGCACCTGGACTTAGCTTCAGTTGTTTTTATGAGGTGTGTGTTATTTATCACAAACTTGTTAAGGTGAGGGCAAGGTTGGCCTTGTTTATATTTAGTGTAGATCAAAATTGTAACTGTTATATGTTTTCATATATGCACTGAGCACCTGAAGTTCTTAACAGCTGTGCATTTGTGAATTTCAAAGCTTTGTAGACAAGAAATTCCTTGCTTTAAAAAAAAAATTTAAAAAGTTTTGGAGAGGATTAAAACTGTAGAAGATGCATTGTTGTCTAATACAATCTTCTTTTTGTTTGCTTGTTCCTTGTTTTTTGTTTCCTTCCTCTAGAATTTCATGCAGCAATGGGTCAAGAATCTGGTAAACCTGCATGGCCAAAGCCAACAGGAGGATATCAGACTATTACAGGTAGAAGATATGGAAGAAGACATGCTTATGTCAGTTTTAGACCATCTTTGAATAGTCAAGATGGAAATCAACACCAACACAATGGAGGATATGAAGGATTAGAATTGAGTGACGTTCAGGAACAGATTTCTTTATGTATGTACATATATCTGTGTGTGTGTTCCGTTTTATTGCAAACTGTGGTGTGTAGGGGTTGGGGTGGGAAGGCACATAGGGAAGTCTAGAAAAGGGAAGAGGGTATCCACATATCCACATAAGTGATACATATGTGTAAATTACACTTAAAGCAAACTGAAGAATTTTTAGATTTCAATTTTGCTTGAAGAAGGTATGAATAAGTTAATGTGTCCTAACCAGTTGTATAATCGTACGATAGGATCCCATTATTTTGCCTTTTTTGAAAGACATTTGTTACAGGTCATATTTGGAAGAAAATTTGTTGCAGCAGAACAAGTCTATGAAATATTTGATATATCACTGACCAAATAAGATATCTTTGACCTCAGTGTAGTTGCAGTGGAAATTATTTTAAGCTCATATAAGACTTTAAAAATTTATCTTCTGTTGATACGACTTGAACAATTTCCTCCCCTTTTTTTTTTTTTTTTTTTTTTTTTTTGGGTCTTTGTTGTTTTTTTTTTCCTTTTTTTTTTTTTTTTTTTTTTTCCTTTAAATCGTGGGAAGCTTATTTTACATCCTAAGTATCCTAAGTCTGCCTGTGTTTAAAATAACCTCTTTTGGATTCCCTACCTGTAACTGTGCATTTCTGGTTTTTTTTCTTTTTTAATGAAGTTTCTAAGTTCCTTAATACCAACCTAAAATTTGCAAGTACTTGCATCAAGTTATGCAAGCTATTTGTGTGTTCAGAAACAGCATGGATCTTACAGATAACTCAAACTAAGCATTAATTTTTGTGGTAGTACCAGAATGTATTTTTTTTTTTACCTTCTTTAACTCTTGCTGAGTTCAATATTTATTGTATCTTTATGCAAGAGGTGCCTAATATAATCAGATGGAATCCATGGTTATGGTTACTACAAACTGTAAATTCTATGTTCATTCCTGCTATTATTTTCTCCTTATGTAGAGTAGCATTTACAGCTGCATGCACAAAATACAGTGTTGTTAGTACATAATTTATGATAGCAATAAGTGGCTTTATTTGAGTGTGGCAGGAGGCACATTTCAGCTAGTTAACAAATGAGTAGTCCAATTTTAACATATGGAAAGACATATGCAGCTTTTTAAAGCTTCTAGTGTCATTCAGGTTTTCTTTTCTCATCTTAAAATCTCCTTTTAACTGAACAGAGTAAAGGTACTCCTTATGAGCGTGTTTATTCTTTAGTATTTGGTTTGTGCTGTCAAAGGCTGAGCCGAACTCGAATCATTTAAATTTATTTCTTTAGCCTTATTTACATTCTCATTTCTATAAACTATATTAATGAAGAATGACTACATCTCTGCTAAATGTTTCTCCATCATAAATTGCATTTACAATGAACTACCCTTTTTTCATGAGCTGGTTTTGTAAGTGAGATTACCCATTGTTTTCCATTATTGAGTTGTATTTTCTTACAATTTTCTTTGAAGGTTCGGGACCATTGGTTCAAGTTTCTTCCGGTTTATTGGATGAGCCTCAGTTAGAAAATATTGGAACTGGAGAACCCGTTTGCCAAGCTGTGTTCAGGCAAACTTCTGAGGCAAACCCTTCACCATTTTCGTATGGTGTGGAAGGCAGCCAGATCTCAGGAAACGTTACGAGCCCTGATAAAAATTCAGAGGACCTCGCAAAATATGCTTCTGGAGAGTGTGATGATTTGAATGGTTGCAATGGAATAGCTTTTGTAAACATTGACTCTTATGAGCCAGATAGCAGTGATGGAGAAGATGATGATGGTCAAGGCCAACTTTGCTTGGTGAGAGAAGAAGCAGGTGTGCTTCAGGAGACATTAGATAACATAGTTTCTGAGTTAGAAAAGGATGTAGAATCTCTTACGCATTTACGGTCCCAATTATCTACTCTCAGTGACAGAGTTTATAGAGAATGTTGTGAGGAAATAGGACCAGTACCCTTAACAAGATGTTTTAGCACAGGTTCAGACTTTACCCATCCAAACAATGAGACATATAAAAAATCTGCTGAAGATCAAGCCATACTGGAAAATAACCTGAGTGGTGCCAGCTATGAAACGCCACTGGTAAATACAGTGAATATTGAAAACAGGACCTGTGTAACAACTTGTAGTGAATTAAATATCAGTGATGAGGAGGCTGAGCAAGAAGATTCACCTGAACTAATAGTGAGACCTAAAATAAGAAAACTAAACCCCACAAGCCATTTGGATAGAGAGAAGCTTCCGAATAATAATGAAGAAGAAAGCAGTTCTAAGAGGGAAGGTGAAATTGATGAAATCGAGCAGGACTGTGCTGAGTTCCCCTTCAGAAATGACAAAGAAAAATTGAGCTCCAATATGTTATTTGATTCCAAGTGGTACAGTGGTCTTCAAAGCCACACAAAATTAGACCTAAGAAGAAATACATCAGTTCAAGAACAAAAAGATTTGCCAGATGATAGCAGTTTCTGGGATGAGTTTGAAGATGGCAGCAGACGTTTATCAGTATCCCACAGGAATGAAGACAGGTAAAGTTCCATTTTTGTATCTGTGCTGGGTTGAATTGGATGTGTAAGTAATATACAAATCTGCATAATTTGTTAGCACATGGAACACAGTAGCTCAATTTCAGAACGTAATCAAATAGCAAAATGCCAAGTCCTCCTTTCAGTTCTCTTTCAACTCTCTAAAATAATCTAAAGAAATGGCACTTTACATTACTGTACTATAATGTGATGATTTTGGTGTTTTTCCAAACATTGTAGACTAGGTCATAAGAATTGGGTCAGGAAAGTTTTGTTTTGTTTTAATTATTTCTAACTGAATTATGCTTCTGATGGTGGAATGAAGAGCTGTCCTTTAGCTCCCACACCATGGCGTTGGATAGCATGGCAGAGACCAGGTCAGCTAGGTGACTGTTCAGGTAAAGTCTGTGTTAAGCTAATGTCTCACATTTTGGCAAATGAAAAGTTTATAACTCAGTAATCATTAAATGAAGGTCTGCATCTCTGCATAATTTGGCTTTGTTAAATCCTAAATTTTGAAATTCATCATATGCTGTTCTTATTTCGTTTGCTATTAATGTCTGTAGGCACATCTGCTTTCCTTTCAATTAGAACTTTAAAATCTGTGTACATATAAATTCAGAGTAGAATTATGTTGGAACCATATGACTACCTATATAATAATAAGTAGGTGACTCTGAAAGTAATGCCTCCTGTTGATTTCCATGGAAACTACAACAGATAGAGCACACTACACTATTTGATGTTGAAATTCTCAGCTGCAAAACACAGTTTTTCAGAGTAGTCATCTCTATTAGCTGTGCATTTTCACTAGTGGTGAACAAGACCCGCATGCTGTGCTCGCTATTTTACAGCTGTTCTCATGGCATTATTACTAGGAAAATGTGGAAGTTTTTTTCCTCATTTTCAGGAAATCCAGAAGGATCACCTCTTTCCTATCCCAAAAGTGCTTTTTATTCACAGTGCTTTTTATTCACTGAAGGCTGCATCTTGAAATTTTTATTTGATAAGAAATTCACGTCTCCACTCCATAGACTGTTCTTTTGATTCCCAATAATAGTGATGACACCACATCTCTTCACTGATAATAATGTAGTCTAGGAAACTGTCACCTTCAGTTTTGTATTGGGTTGATACATCCTAACGAATTCGCATCCAGTGTTCTTTCTGCTCCTGTGTGAGCATCTGCGGGACCCATGTTTTGTGCCACCATTGTTTCCAGTGAATTGAAACTGTTGTTCAACTCTGTGTACAGTTTGCTGGTTGTAATCCACTGATCTGTGTGGATGAGTTGATTGAGATACTCATCATTTCATAGTCCAACAGATGTGTGTAGCTGTCCATCTTGTCTATCACATCACTCTCACCACTGCTGAGATGCACTACCCACCACTGTGCTCCTGTCCACTGTTTCATCTCCATAAATGTTGAGCGAGAATTGATGAATGACAGTGAGTGCCATTTTTCCTTGCGTGGAGAAATCCATTGACAGTTCTTCACTTCATATGCACTCCCATGTCAAATGCCATTTTGTCAGGCTGCCATCTGTTGCCATCTGTCACACAGAGCAAAATGCAATGGAATATTCGTGGGAGGGTTCAACCTCCTACTGCACCAACATCAGCCTCTGATGTCATAGACCAACATAATAAAATAGGAGTTGTTACTTTCAGAACAGTATTTGTTACTGTAATCTGCATTGGTAATCATTACTGGATTGTGAAATAGAGAGCACTGAAGGAATAGTTCTGAGGCTCTAGGTTAGTCTTACAGTATACTTAACTAACTTTTAGATATGAGGAGGGAAAGTACTGGAATGTTAAACCTTAGTTGGTATGACATAGGATGTATTTATTGTCTTTTGAAAAACTCCCTATCACTGATCTGCTAAAGCCTAAGGGTTAAATGATTGTCGGTAATCTATCAATTGTAACCTTGTGCAGTTTAAAGAAGAGAACTGAGAAAGGGCTGTTGTGAATGGCTTAGAGATTGATGGAACTTCTGCTTAATGTTTTGTGTAACTGAGATGTGAAGCTAACGTTTCTGCATATTTGCTAAGCGAACATTGGTTTTCTGTGTATCAGGGTGCTGGTAGGAGAAGGTGCATCTGGGGCTGTGGATTTGTATTTCTGAGATGTTGTATGTGCTTTGCTAATGTCTACAGAGAAGAAAATACTACCACTAGGTAGTGTGGACAGATTTTTTTTTTTCCTTTTAAGAGAGAGATTTGAATGAATCCTACATACTTATCTATATTTATAGGTACAACAAAATTGTCCCTGAGAGTTTCTATGCTGGAAAGAAATCTTCATACAAAAGCACAAAGACACAGAATGTTTTTATGCATGTTTTCTTTCCCATAAAGCAGTGCTTAAATCCACATCCTGCCTTGTTTATATTACAGCTCAGAGTGTAGTGATGGAGAATGGCCTGCAACTGGGCCAGTCTATTTTGCTGCTGCAGAAAAAGACCAGTCCTCAAGTGATGAGAGCTGGGAGACTGTCCCAGGCAAGGAGGAACATGAAGCAGAAGTGCTGAGCAGCAGCAGCGGTATAGGAGTGAATGCAGACCCTTGCTTCCATGGAGGGTATGTCTTTATTTTCATTTAATTTGTTCCTGTAAATTCTGATGGCAGTATCACAGTAGCCACGTGACACTAAGCAGAAAAAACAAATTCTAAAAATAGTTCCTATCTTAGGAATAATTATTGATGGACAACTACATGGTCGACTTGATGTACACATTTAAAATAGGATAAAATGACTTGTCATACAAGTAGCGCTGGCTATTTTGTGAAAGATATAGAAATAATAAGAGGGCATTAATACTAATAAGAGATTAGTGTCAGTAGGGGTAATGGTGTACTGACTCAAAAAAGGCAGATTAGAAAAGCTAATTATATAGCATGTCTCTTTACACACATCTTCTGATGTTGCATAGTACTCCTTGCAAAGCTATTGTTTTTCACTGCTTTTCATATTCCAGTGAATGGAACAGCTGTTCTTTATTTCTTCTTTTCTTTATTTTCCTGTAAGTGATTAAAGTGAATTTGAAACATTTGCTTGATGAGAGCTTGCTCTTTTTACTTTTTTTTAATGAAAGTTAAAAAAGGAATTTTTTTCTAAGTATCTAATATTGACCTTAGATTGTTAGTTTGGGTCTTTATAAAGCAACAAGTCATGGCTAAGTATTCTTTCTGCTGCTTCTGCTCATGGGCATACAGCAGCTAGCACCAAGCGGTCTAAATCTGTTACTGCTTTGTTAGCATTGCTGTCTCTTGAGGTCTTAAGAATTAGAATGGCTTTATGAAAACATCGTGAAAACTAATCTGTTTCAGAACAACAGCAATAGAACTGTGTATCCTTTAGTTTTCTGTGATGTGGACAACCTGCAAATGTATTAATTTCTAACACAATTCCTATTTATTTGCTCTTTGATAAGAAAAGCAGTATTCTTAATTCCTTTAGCCATTTATCCTCTGGAGAATCTAGGAGCAACACATGGCTTCTCTTACAAGTGATCTCTTGGCAATTAGGTCAAGCTTCCCCATGGCAGGCTGCTCCAGGGTGTTGAGAGCCTTTAACTTTTAGATTTTTGAACTTTGATTAATAAGAAAATCTTTAGAACTAAGTTTGGTAGCCCTGACAGGGATACTGCCTGTATTGGGGAAATTGCTGAGCAAGCAGCTTACATGGCTGACCTTGAGCACTGTGAAAGTAGTTCTGTTACAGCATCGTGGGTTTTAGTAAGTTCAAAGTCTGGATGGACCAACTGATAATACTGAGAAGTTATGTTTGTTTTTTTTTTTTTTTTTATTTTCTGAAAGCAAATGTTAAATTTCTAGTTGAGGTCTCTGGGAAATACATAGGTGCAACCCTTGATATAGTATTTGTATCCTCTCTTGCTTGCAAATGCTTGGAAGTTGTTCTAACTTCTTAGCTTTGTCTGTTCATTAATTTATTTGAAGGGAACAAATGTTTTTCTCTTATTAATTTGAAGGGTGCAAACGTTTTTGGAGGAAGGTGAAATTCCTTGGTTACAGTATCATGAAGAAATAGAAAGCAGCAGTGATGAGGAAAACGACCCATCTAGTGATTTTGTGCATCCTGGATTCTTTATGTTGGATGGAAACAACAACCTTGAGGATGACTCCAGTATGAGTGAGGACCTGGATGTGGAGTGGAGGTATGTATGCCTCTTAGGGTTTTCTGTGTTCATTTTAGAGAGTTTGTGGTGACTGGTTACTTCTGCTATGTAAGATGTCTAAATGCACACAGGTATCTTTGTTCTAGAAGGCAGGTGTAGATCTGTTAAATGAGGCTGTGTATGAGAACACACTAGGACACATTTGAGGGATGTGTTTAATTTTTCAATTGATTTTCAAGACAGTAAGTATAGCAGGAGTATTACAAACAAAAACAAGGTGCTATGAATGTAGTCAACCTTCAAGTCAGTGCAACTTTCTCTTTCTTTGCAGCTGAAGTAAGTTAGACATTGTAATACATACCTTATTTCTCTTAGAAATGCTATGTGCTTACCTAACTTCATTGTGATTTTGAATACTTCACTCATATTTTCTTTGTCCTTAGATTGCTGAAGAATAGTGTGATATATTTATCAGAAAAGCCCTGCAAATGACAGGAAGAAAGTTATCAGAGCCACTTGCACAACCTAATCCTAGAGTAACACATTGTGTTTGTTTAAATTGCAAGTAAGCTAGACTGAATGCTTCTCAGCGAAAGGCTTAAAGCTTTTTTTCTTCTCATTACTGGCAATATTAAAAGTTTGCTGCGTAGATGTGCCTTCATAAAGGGACAGTATAAGTGTTGTTATATTGTCAAAAAACTCAGAAGGGACTAACATGTGGAAGTCCAAGTTGAAATAAAGTACATTGTGTTACAGGGACAAGCAAGTACTTCAGCAAGCTAACAAGGAAATTGTGGTATATGGATATAAACTGATTTATCAGCTTTGGCAAGTTGCTTAACTAATCAGAATAGAAAGAAGAATGTTTCTCTAATAGTATGTTTTTCCTGTTCATCATATGCAGAGAGTAACAGTTTTGCCATGTCCGTTTTAAAATTTGATCCCTGATTGTTAAGCTGTGAAATGCTGACGTATGATGAAAATATAATCTGAACAACAATTTTTAAAAGAACCTAATAGAATACACGTGGAATTTATTTGCTGAGCTGTTTGCCCTTTTACTTTGAAGTAGTCAATAATAAAAGATCACTTCAGAATCTTCTGATGTCTATATCACTGACTGTACCACTGTGCTGGGCATAGGTCAGTAGTGTGTTCTGGCAGAGCCCAGCAGGAGCCTGGGAAGAAAGTGTTATTGGTGTGAGACAACTAAATGTATCCAGTCTTCATGTTGTCACTGTTACCTTAGGAAGCCTTTCCTAACACATTGTCTGTGTTTCAAACTTGTCTTTTTCAGGTTGCTGGATGAGTTTGGTGATGGAGTAGGAGTTGCTCAAGTCATTTCATATGTGGATCCTCAGTTTTTCACGTATATGGCACTAGAGGAGCGCCTAGCACAAGCTATGGAGGTATTAAAGCGTAGCAGTTGCTTTTTGTATTAATTAAAACCAAAGCACACTGTGTTATTTTAATACACAAATATTTAGATCACTGAGTTTTATTTTTTTTCAACTTGAAGGTTACTCTTTTGTGTGTTAATATTAGATATAAAAGTATTTCATTAGATAGGAAACTTTTTATCAGTATTAGAAAAACATATGAGAATGGTACAGGTGTTCTGACTATTTCAGTGTTATACCTGTGGTGTTGTCACAGGAGCTATTCTTAGTCAACTTATGGACAAAGATTCAGTAAGGTCTAGAAAACAGCCTTTCTTGGTCTGCTTTGAACTTTTAAATTTGCAAGTTTGAAAACAGGCGTTAAACTTATTCTAAATGATATAGAGCAAGAAGTCATTGATCAGCACTGGCTTTAGAACTAGTTTTAGAATATGCAATTATTTTCTGTTAAAGGAAAAATGAAAATATTGGCATTTCTGCAAGCATGAATACATCACTTAAATGTTGTCAAATTTTGTACATACCCAAAGAAAATTCATACCTAGAACTGTGTGTATAGATTATCCCAGGTGTTTTTTTTTTTTTAAGAGTAGTGGTAGAAGTCTATTTGTATTCCTCAGAACTAGTCTTCATTGGATTTGTTTGTCTTGACTACATACTGGATAAACCACCATTGTTCTGAGTATTGTTGCTTTTTTTTGGTTTTACTTACATGATATTAGTCACTGTCAGAATGAATATAGAGCTACCTAGCTGAAATTCTGCTTCGTGCAACATGACAATTTCTGCTTTGCCAGAAGTCTTCTCTGCAGGATATTCTCTGCCAAAATGAGTTAAATGATGGGTAGACATATATGGTGTTGCAACAATTAAATTGAGTGTTTTGTATGTGAAGTTTAGGGGATAGCAATAGGGAGCTTGACAACTAGCTCTTAATTAAAAGGGGTGAACAGGGCAAATTGTGTCAGGGTATACTTGCAGGCACAATACTGAGGAAATTTTAAAATTTCTAAAAGCTGACAGTCAGTGGAACAATCATGCAGCTTTTTAGCCTTACAAATAGTGATAAAATCAATAATTTTGTGATTGAACTTGATGGTTTCCAAGGAGGTCAAAGGGCTGTACCTGAAGTTATTAATCTTAGATTACTAGTGTGCATCTCAAACCATTTGGGAGGCCAGCATATTTTTATTTTTTTTTTTTGTAGATGTATCACAGGGTTTTCTCCAGTTTTGGAGGACCTTGTTAGTTTTATCTTAGTTAATCTTTAGTTAACTTATCTGGAGATGCATCTTAACTGCTTCTTGCTATGTAGGAGGTCTGTTGATAGCTTTTTCTAAAAGCAGTATTCTCAAGTTGTATAAGGAAAAATCCATTTCTCTTCAATACCTGCTAGTTCTCACTACATCAAACAAGGCAGAACTACAGAAGCAAGTTGACCTCCTCCTTTGCAGTGAAGAAAGGAATTATATAGAGAAGGGAAAAAAAATCCCATCCATTTTTATCTATGTATTAAACTGTTAAAAGGAGATTGAGGTTATTACAGTTCTGAGATTTTTTTTCCCTCATTTCTGTGCAAGAACATTGTTGAATTCTACCAGAAGGAATGTGTAAAATTCATTCAAGCTGGCCTGTAAATGCAGTCCTAGTTGACTGTATACATGGCTGACAGAGAAGCTGCTGTAATTACGTCAGTGTCGTAAGGAATTGAGTGTCATTGAACTTGCTTGGCAAGCAGAAAGATGAGTACAAAGGTAGTTAGTTATTCTGTGGAAGCTGTGCTACAGGTCACTGATACAGATATATATATCAGTATCTTCAAAATATTCTCAGACCATCACAGCTGCAGCAAAATACCATTAGAAATACTAAAGTCAACTTAATAAGGAAGTGTTGTCCATTGTAGCAGAATTGAATGACTTTAAGCTGTTAGATCTGAGGAGTTTGAAGAATGTAGTTGTTTTGTAAGTAGAGTTGTATACTGCACCACAGACAATTGTTCCAGGGTTCTCTTTAACTAGAACTTCTAGATGAGAATACTTGTGGCAGTAGGAGCTGTGTTTGTCTGTTAGTTCTAGCTGATTTTATGCTACTGCAAATATTTGACTGTAGGTGTTAGAGCTACTAGATGGAATGGCTACCCGAGCTATCTTGCCATTGTGGTAAGAGCAGACACATTCACAGTCTGTGACTGATAACTTCAAAAGATCCAGAGTAAAGGCTGCTGAAGGTGTCTACATGTCATCCAGTGTTTTTCTGATTTGTTCTTGTTGTTACTGGGTAAATGATGTAAATGATAGATGCTAAAAAAAATATCAATTTATCTTAAAATTCTTAACAGAAAATTTGCTATTTCATCCTGATTAGAACAGGAAACAGTTGTACTTGAAGGCTGGAGGTACTTAATTCATGATATCAACTCAGTGCTTATGTCTTTGTGGCTATTCAGTTTGTTCTGTTGTATTGTTGGACAAGGTATATCTTGTGCATTTTTTAGAATTTGGATTGGCTGTATTTGCTTTTTTGAAAAGTTCTCCAGCAGAAAGAAAACATTGCAATGTGGTTGAATATATGATGTAAATTAACATCAAATCTGCCTGCTTTATAATTGGTGTCATAGTGGCTTTATGTGGTGAAAAATATAATTGAGTTTCAAATAAGATGACTTCAAAGTGCATATCATGCAAAGTCATTACACAGATGAGAAACATATATGTGGATCCTGCTTTTTCCTGAAAGCATACATTGATTGTTGTAGCCCAGCTACTTAATTTTTTCTTCTCACTTGAGTAATGCTAGTTTTGAAGCCAAAAACTGCGTAAATGGGGCTTTTCTCTTCAGGCAGTTTTATATTGGCAAGGTTTATTGTATTTTCTTGCTCTCTTTTTAGAACATGAACAAACATTCATTAGAGAATAAGTTGGGCATCTGTGCTGATATGTTGAGAAGCCTTAGAAACTATCTGATACTATTTTGATCTTCAGCTTTTGTTCTTTCATTACCGAAATAAAAAATGAATGTCATGGTTGATCTGACAGGGTTCCTTGTCTTGCTTATTTGTTTTTATATGAAATGTTATATTTGTGAGTAAGAGAACTTGATCTCTGCTCACCTTTTTCAGAATGCTCTGGCACATTTGGAGTCTCTTGCAGTTGATGTTGAACAGGCCCATCCGCCAGCTACTAAAGAAAGCATAGATTGTCTACCACAGATCATTGTCACAGATGACCATGATGGTATGGAAAAAACAATTAAGAACTAATTTCTGCTATGTTTATAAGAACAAATTTAGCTTTTTATAATAACATCGATACAGCCTTGTTAGCTGCACAGTATGTTTAAATACTGTACTAAGAGCTTCTGAATTTTGAACTGAACTGAATGTAACTTTTGTAACTTCTGGGAAATGAATCTTTACCTCTTAAATCTTTACATCTATGAGATGTGATTGTATTTCATAATCATTGGTGATACTGTTGGTATATCAGTTTTCTACATCTAAGATTAAATGACATTAAAAGATGTTAATGTTTTTTCTGCTTGATGTCTGTAGGTCAAGAACAGTGCTGCACTATATGTTGCAGTGAATATGTAAAAGATGAAGTCATAACAGAGCTACCCTGCCATCATTTGTTTCACAAGCCTTGTGTCACTCTTTGGTTACAGAAGGTAAATGTTTTTTGGCAGGTTTTTTTGGTGGGTTTTCTTTGTTTTGTTTGAGTATTTGCATTCTTACAGGAAGAACAGAAGTTTGAAACTGAAAACGTGGAATGGTGTTCTGTGAAATAACTGGCTATTATTCTTATGCATTGTGGAAACAAATTCTAAATCAAGTGAGAGTAATTTATATCCATAGTCACCAGGAGCCATGACTTGGTATTTATTTTTAGGTATGCATATGTGAATATACATGGATAAATAAACTGAATAGTTAAACATTTATTTCTGTAAGGATTTATAGTAGTTAGAGATTAGAATGCAATGATGTCATTCTTGAATGGGAAAGGAGTTTTGTGTGGAAAAACATGATTTGTTTTGGGTAAAAATGAAAAAAGAAAAAGTAAGTTACACTTCAGCAAGATAAGTTTTTTTTACTGTACCTCCCACCTAAAGTGAAGATAATGCTTTTATTTTTTCTGAGGACAAATAAGTATCTCATCTGTTTTGCTGGAATGTGTCAGGCACATTTGTGGTGATAAAGTTCACAGAAGAAATAAACATCTGCAAGAATGTAATGTAGATTAATTTGCAACACCTTCCTTTGATAAATGTTGTATTAGATTTCATTTTCATCATCCATAATTACCTTTTCCTTCCTTGGATCCGATCCTGGCTCATACTGAGGTGACACTAAAAGAACTCTAATTCATTAATTAGTATTTCTGTAAATAGATTTGCACTCTTCTTTATGTACAGTGTGAACTTGGACTTGATTCTAGTAGTTTTTAGAAATAGCGCTGAGCCTATAGTGTAATGTATCCCTTCCTCAAGTACTGTAAGAATGTGATTGATTCAAACCAGGGAGAGAAGATCACCTCTAGAATGAGTTCTAGGTGGTTTTACATTATTTTTGTATCCTAATGCTCTTAGTTTTGATGTTAAAATCTTTGTATTTTGTCTTACCTTTTTCCCTACTGTCAGTAGTAAAATGCTGTTGCTGAGAACTGTGATGAAATCCTGTTAGATTTGGGCTTTATTTTTCCTTAAAGTGTCAAATATAAACTAGATTAAGTTCCCACTTCTCTTTGAAGAAGTCCACCTTGCAGGGTTCCTGTTATATATATACCTGGTGTTCAAAAAAAAAAAGTTTTCATCAGAAGTGATATACATCTCTTAGCTTCCTTCAGCAGTCCAATCTGATTTGAGTTTGAGACAGTACTGTTTGTAGTAAGTAGAAAGACATTGTAAATCATAAATTTCAGCTCCTCACTAGAATGAAATTCGAGCTGTGCAAATGACCTGTTCTTTTTTTCTCTTTTTCTATAGTCAGGAACATGTCCTGTTTGTCGCCATGTACTTGCTCCCATTCTTCATGAGGCAGCTGCTTCCTCTGCTTCCTTTCTACCTGATGATGACTCTTCATCTTCTGTTTAGAATGTTACAGGAGCTCCCAGCTAGCGTGTGAGATGAACATTCTACTGCCAAAATAAATGTTAATTGTGCTTAGTTACAATGTGAAAAAATGATATGTAAAATACCGTGTATGTTATGTTTCAGTTTCGAAAGAAGATGCAAGAATTTTTCAACTGATTAGGTTTACAGTAGTTTCTAGCTTTCAATTTGAAAATTTAAAAATGTGCACCCTTTTTTCGGTTTTCAAAGTAATATTGCTGCTAACTAGAATGTCTACAGCTTGTATTATGTTAGATTTGTCTAAAAAGATAACATGGCACTTTGTGTTTGCATTCTTACAACTGCAGTGCAGTTGCAGCTTACTGAAGTTATGCTTATAGACTATCTTACGTAACTGAACTATTTGCCAATGAGTAACTGTAATTTTTCTTTTGTTTACGTCAGATATAAGGACATTTTGTGATGACAGCAGTACAATTTTCTTTCACTGGAAATGCAACGGAACAATATCTGACTTCTATTCCACATTAAACTTTTTCCTGGCATCAGAAGTGCTGTTAGGTTACTGTTGCCTGGGCTTTTTTACAAATGCTTTACCAATTTTAAGTCTTAAGTCCTGAATGAACTTTAGACTATATGAACTTTGGAACTTCAACATTTGATATTCTGAGTTTCTAAGAAGTTGAATCTGTAATGTCTGGGCAGCTGGTTCTTTTGAGTTTTGTTTAAATATCGTTATACTGAATAGACCTCCTTTACTTTCTCCTCCTTGCACACACACTCACTCTCTTCTAGATAAATTTATTTTTATATATAATGTAAGGGAGGGATTGCTTTCCTAATGCAGATATAATTAAAATATTTTTGACTCTTGGAGTCTTGAAGTCTGAACAAGGTAGTAACAACCTTGTACACTTAGTTGAAAAATATATTTGAATACATGGGTGTTAGGATAACTACTATTATTTCAGAAATTTAAGAATGAATGTTTCTGGTGTTTGCACTTGTTGCAGTGGGTTATGCTACATAAAGTATTTTAAAGGGAAAAAGACTGTAATTTCTAAAATGTATTTCTCTAGTTAATACTCCGTGTCCCTTAAAGTTTTCTCTTGTGCTGAAGTTAGTCTTCGTGCACAGAAAGTTAAGATTTTGATTTGTGTATTCTGTATTAATGGTTGTGCAATCTTACAGTGCTGGAGCATGGGGATAATATGCAAGGAACCAAATCCAAGCACTCTTAAAATTACTTGCTTCCAGTAACTACTAGTTGAGCTCATGGAAAGCTTAATGTGATGACTGAAAAACTAAGATTAAAGTAGCACTCAGCTACTTGGTTGTGGTTATTGCTGCCCTAATAGCCTCATCTTTATAAATATTAATATATTCTTTGAATAGTGTTTTTGAGAGACATACTGAGTAGTGTGACTTACTTTACAGTGTACTTTGTGGACTGTGACAGAACAAAGAATTGCTGGATATTGCCATAGATCTATTCCTGAGGTTTTAGATTTTGCATTCCTAAACATGAATACGAGGAAATAAGAACAAGGGTGTTGGTGAAAAGTTGTGGAAGTGGTTAGCACAGCTCCTTACAAGTTTATTTTTCTGCATTAGAACTCTATATTCATCAAAGCTCACATCAGCAGGATTTTGAAAAATGTGACAGGGAACATAGGCTATAGGTATACCCACTGGGACAATTCATACTAATCCAAGAAGCACTATAATTTTCCGTATCTCATTTATGAATCAGTGCTGGGGAGAATGCCCATTGGTTGTTCCTCCTATGGCAAATGCTACAACAGGTATTTTAACCAGCCTGAATTGCGTTTCTTTCCTAACTGCTCAGTATGCTGTCCCTCATTTAATCCTTTAAGAACTGTGTTTTGTAAAGAGGATTACCTCAGATTCTGGGGCAAGATTTGGAAGCACTCTTGCTTGTAGCTTTTGATTCCGGACTTAACCAGCAATGTCAGGAGCTAAGACAGAAGCAGCTGTTGGGCTTTTTTTCTCCTTATCTGTTACTGGCCTCAGTTTTGCTTACTATTTCTAAACAACTGATGAACAGCTGTCTAAGTGTTAAAGCTTTTTTTTTTTCCCCCTTCACCTTGAATGGATTGATGGATTATTCATAGATCTTTCCTAGTGCCTCAACTGAGGAAATAGCAAATGAAAGATCTTTGTCAAGGTGTCTGCAAAATTATATGCCAGGTCAGGACATATTCAGGAGATTACCAGAAACCTTCAGCAACACGAAAGAAGAGTTGAATGATCAAATTCTTTGGAATATTCAAGTGCTGGTTGTGATTTATTTTTTTGGTAAACAAAATTGTGTCAGATTGCTGTGCACATTCAGTGGTAAAATCAGTTCAAGTAGGCCTGGTCCTTGAAAATGCCTTGTAAAGTGTAATGTTTTCCTAGAACAATAAATACTAAAGAACAAATATTTGCTCAAAAAGAACATCCTGGGCATTCTCTAATAAAAAATTCTAGCTACAAGAAGAAAATCTTTTTCCCACACTAGGTAAAAAAAAGCATTCAACAAAAAGGTGGAAGTAAATGTGGAAAAATAGGTCTGCTACAACCAAGGGTTTGTATCATCTCTTCATGTACTAGTAAACTGGATGCATCAAAAGTCCATAGGAGATCATAAAAGGGGATAAACAAATTACCTGCTTTGAATAATGTTCAAGTAATACAGAAGTTCTTGTGAAAAATGTGTTTCTGGTAAACTACATGATGTAAAATGAATGCTTTTTAATATGTAATAAAACATTTTCATTGCGAAGTTAAAATATGAAGTATTTTGGATTTTTTAACTTTTTATTTTATGCATTCCTTTCTGAGGGCCCTTTGAGGTAAGCCAGCAGCACTCCAGAACTGTCCTTTGCATATAGAATTATTTTCTCTATTGGCCAAGAAACAGAGCAGCCTGCTACATCTGCATACACTGATATTAATTCCTTGGTTCATTTCTCTGTGTTCTTCATCAGCTTTTTGGGGGCTTGGTTTGGATGGGAACCATTGAGCAGTGCTTCTGCTGCAGGCACTTTTTCTCAGCCCGTGTCCAGCACAGTGCTAGGCACTGTACCACACTTACACTCAACACCAGGCATTAGGGGTGCTATTAGCTCTGATGCTTGACAACCTCATAGCCTCAACATGCAGTGCTACTACTTTGGCCCAAGCAGCTCCCTTGAGTTCTCATGCTTTGTGTAGAATAAATCTGCTATGGGATTTGGTATGCGTGCAGTGTTGCTGCATTGTTCTGCCTCCAAATACAAATGCATTGCATTGGTGTTCAGACTTGACTCTCCAGGCTTGAAATCCTTTATCATCAGAGTGACTTTTTTTAATGGCAGGGAATGTGCTGAATATCCAGTGGGACTTCACCATAAAATAAATCTCAATCTACGAGCTGAAGCAGGCAAAAGCCTCACAAGTTCTTCCTGTTTTGAGCGAGTTGCCCATTTTTGCTCTGAGTACATTCAAAATATTTTCTTCATGTTGTTTTTAATCTGTTAGGATTTAAATCTGCCAGGGTATGCTAATTATCATGAGAACAGTTTGCAAGGCCAGGAGCAGCAGTGCACCTGTGCATGTGCAAAAGGCTGTCCAAGGAGCACTGAGGCTCCTAGGTACAGCAGGAGAGCATTTAATGGGATCAGCATGACTTCCAGTGACAGAGTTCGAGTCATGATATCTACCGGGCAGAAAGCTATGTCCTCTGTATCCTGGTGCTTCTCTAGCCACGGGAACTGATACAGTTGCAGAGATAGAGCTTCCAAAGGAATGTGCAACCACCCAGGCTGCAAAGCATGAGGAGCTTTCTGTCAGTGTCTGACTGCAGTAGTGAGTGCATCCATGTCAGGTGTGTACTGGCAGAAGAAATGATCAGCATGGGTATGTATAGCTCTTGAGGAGGAGCTGGGCAGGCTGAGAAAAATGTCAGGGAGCTAGAGAAGGAGGTGGGCTGATAGAATTGTATTGTCCCTGAAACGGGTGCATCTTCCAACCATAGTACAAGAGATGAGGGACTCCCTACCCTGTGCCACCATGTAAATGGAGGTCACCTTACACAGAGAAGGAAGGCATGTTACTGATCAGGGGTGCAGGCAAATTCCCTGCCTGCCTACATCACCCTCCCAAATGTCCTCATGCAACAGGCATGAGGCTATGGAACTGAATGGACATGCAAACGATAATGTATTAATATCCATCCATGTTGGAACGATCTCCTAGGACTAGTTTGCTGTCCCCAGTATCACAGCCATTACCTTCAAGAAAAAAGGGTGGTTGTGATAGGTGTCTCCCTTCTGGCAAATGAAGGGCCTGATTCTCCAACCAGACCTGACCCACAGGAAAGTCTGCTGCCTCCCTAGGGCCCCTAGAGAGATGTTTCTACAAAAATCACTAGCCCAGTATGGCCCTCTGGTAATTATTCATTTAGATTTTTTTCATGTTAGCAGCAGTGAAATAGCAAAAAAAAGAAAAGTCCAAGAGCAGTCAAAAGGAACTTCAGGGCCTCTGTGCAATTGAATGATCAAGAATATGGGTAGCGTTTCCCAGCAGCAGCAGAGAACAATCTTGAACAGGCAGACCAGCTGGTCTTTACATGTCTCTGAGTCGCTGACATGATCCTCACAATACCAGGCCTGCTGACACACACTGAGATGCACCTTTCCTGTTTTTGCACAGGAGTTAGTAGAGATGATTGATAGATTTGAACTAGATTTGAAGGAGATCAGGAATAAAATGCAGCTCATAGCGTCATAAGCTATGGGATGGTACACTAAAATTTGAGGGACTACATGATCACAGTAACCTTCAGTCTGCTCCAGGAGGTGCTGGGTAGAATGAAGCACATTTGAAATGTTTCTACACCAGTACACACAGCATGAGGGAAAAGCATGAATATGTAGAAGCCTGGACTCAGTCCTGGAGCTACAACATTACTGATGCAAGTGAAATCTGGTGGGAAGAGTCCTGTGACTGCTGTGTCTCAGTGGACAAGGTTTCTGGGCCCTCCAGCCGGGATGGGTCATACAGGTGAGATGGGTTGGTCTCCATACACAAGGGAGGGGCTGGGCTGTACAGGGATTGCAGTTGTTGATGGCAATGTTGGAAGCCTCTGAGTAAGGATGAAGGAAGAAGCAAATAAAGAGGATGTAATTGTGAGAGGCTGTCCAGCCAGGATGAGAGCACAGATGAATTTTTGATTACTAGGGGATACCTCTAGATGATTGTGGGTGACTGCAACTTGGTGGACTTTAACAAGTAATACCACACAGCACATACAAACAGGCCCAGGAGATTCCTTAAACACCTTGGTGGTAACTTCTTGGTACAGGTACTTCCCAGATTCGTTACTTTTAAATAGAGAAAGTTTTGTGGGTGAAGTGGCAATTGGTGGCCTTCTTGGACGTAGTGACCATGAAGTATCCAAATTGAAAATCTTTGGTGACAGAAAGAAAATTGCCACCCAAACTCCAACCCTGGAGTCAAGGGTTTGGGACATTGAGGGAACAAGTTAGCAGGATTCCCCAGGATTCTGCATTTTAAAGTATTGGAGTCTATCAGTGCTGATCACTTGTTATGTACCACTTTTTAAGAGCACGGGAATAGGTAATTCCAAAATTTCAGAAATCATGCATGTGGCGCAGAAGACCAGCTTGGCTGAGCAGTGTTCTTCTAGAACCTAAGTGTGAAAAGAAACTATATGGGCACTGGAAACAAGGTCAGCCAACATGCGAGAACTGCAGAGATGCTGTTTGCCTTTGTAGTGAAGTAGGTAAGGCAGACATTTAATGCCTTCTTTCCGTCTGCCTTTAACACCAGTGATGAGCTTTGGGATCCTCAGAGTGCCTGTGACTGTGGTAACAGTAAATTCCCAGCCAACATTAAATCCATACAGAATTTGTTGCTCCAACTGAGTGCACACAAGTGAATGGGGCCCAATGGGATTCATCTCAACATACTAAAAAAGCTGGCTGATATCATCACAAGACCTCACTCAATTATTTTTCAGTGGTCTTGGAAATCTGGAGATGTGCCAATTGACCTGAGGCTGACAAATGTTATCCCAATTTTAACAGAGGGCAAGAAAAAAGACCCTGGGTATAATAGGCTTGTCAGTTTCAGCTCAGTGCCTGGTAAAATTATAGAGAAGATTATTCTGTGAGTTACTGAAAGATTCTTGAAAAGCAATGCAGTCACTGGCCATAGCCATCATGGGTTCACAAGAGGGAAGTCATGTTTAAAAAGCTTAATTTCTTCTATGATAAGGTTACCCACCCAGTTGACCATGAGAAGTTAGGCGATGTCATCTTTAGATTTCAGGAAATTTCAATATTGTCTCTCACAGCCCAAATTACTGCAGTTCCAGAAACTTTTGGACAAAGTTCTCATACACTGAGTTTGAGTTTTAGGTGTTCCTGTGTGGAGCCAGGAGTTGCTTGTGGGTCCCTTTTAACTGAGGATATTCTAACAGTCTATGTTTAATTTCATTGAGAAGGGAATGATTATGTTTGTAGGGACAAGTCTTCAAATGAATTGCCATACCCATAGCTGTTTTCAAGATATTTTTGAAGTATCTTCTTTTTTGGTGCATTTTTTGAAGATGCACTGGTGTGTTACCTTATTCTTTACTGTGCATGAAAATTCGTGAAGCAGTATTGTTCAAAAGATGGTGTTACAACAACAGAATTCCATGAACATCAAAATACTGCAAGTTATATTAGTTTTTAATTTTTTTCCTATAGAAATGTTTTACCAGTTTTAAATTGAAGCAATATAACGAAATACTCTTTCACAGGAGAGGGGAACCGGTTGTAACTTGTCAATACAATGGAACTATTTGATATTTGTTAACTGTTTGTTTTGTGAAGCACTGAATTTCTGTTTGTATGTTTGTTTTCTTTTTCTTGTTAGTGGCATTAGCAAAGTCTAGTGAATGATCCCAGTAATTCCACTTCTGACTTTTTTTTGTTTTCATTTTCATTTTTGCAAAAGAGGAGAATTATTCCATTTTAATTGGATCCTGAAATATGTAATTATATTTTAACAACACTATTTGATTTTCTTCATAAATAGTATTTTTAGTTTTTATTCATGAAATTCTTAACCTGAACAAAACGTGAATTCAAAGTGAAACTTGCTGCAGCTAACATTCATGGCCTTGTGCATGACACTGTAGAGACAGCACAGACGTGTGACATTAGAAACAGAAAAATGGGACTTGAAGGCACTGCCAGCTGAAGAGAAAGGGTGTAGGAGCTTCTTTGAGAGATCTGCCCTTCTCCTATCCCCTTCTGCCAGCCAGTCTGCAACCTCACTGCAGGACAGGCAAGCCCCTGTCCCTCACCTGTAGAACCACAACCCAAAAGATACGGCTTCTGTTTCCCTCCCGAATTACCCTTCTTTCCTTATGTTCTGTCAGCTGGCTGGAAAGAGAAAAAAGAAAAACAAAGAGTTTGGTCTCTACTTACAAACCTGGAAAGCTCATGGAAGTGAATGGCCAGGAAGCAGCTCCACATCCTTCTGGAGGGAAAATTTAGGAAGATTGTTCCAACAGATCTCTACCCTGCCTCTTCCCTAATCATGGACGAAGTGGACACGCTGACTCTTTTTGGCTGTGTTTGAGCTTGTTGTAGCAGGGCAGATGGATAATCATGTGACCAATTTTGAGAGAAAGTTGTCTCTAGGCTTTCAATGTCACGTAGCAAAAATAGTTTGCTTGCTTCATAAGAAACTCAGTAGATTTTTGTGGAATTATGTATGTC